TAATAATAATAATAATAATAATAATAATAATAATAATAATAATAATGACATGATTACTTTGATGATAATAATAATAATAATAATAATATGATTACATTGATGATAATAATATCAATAATAATAAAAAATATTCATGATAATAACAGTAATAATAATAACACAAATAATGACAATAATAATGAAAATAGTAATAACAATAGTGATGATAATGATGATAATAATAATAATAATGACAATACTCCTATTACTAATAATAATGAAAGCAATAATAAACACAACAATGATGATATAAATGATGGCGATAATAAAAAAAACAAAATAAAGAAAATAATTGCTACCACAATAATTAATGATAATGATGGTAATGCTAATGATAACAACAATGATAATATTAATACTAATGCTAATACTAGCACTGATGCTGATACAAATAACAATGATAATAACAACAACAATAATAATAAAAATAATAACAATAATGATAAAAGTAATAATAATAATGACAATGATAACTTATATCAACCCTAATAATAAAGATACCATTCTCATTATTATTGTTGTTATTACAACTATTATCATCATTATTATCATTATCCTTACTATCCTCACCCTTATCATCATCATTATTACCATCATCATTATCGTCATTATCATCATTATCATTATCATCATTATCTTACTAATACCATCAGTATCATCACCATCATTATCATTATCATCATTACTATTATCGTTCAAACCATTATTAAAAAAAAAAAAAGATCATAGCAAACAAACACAATCAGGTCCACACTACGAAAAGACATGAACAAGCAAAAAACACAAAAAAAGAAAGGGGAGAATAACAAAAATAATGCAATAAACACGAGAGGCAGAAGAAAGTCATGCACCTCAAGTAACAAATTAAGGAGAGTGAGGACAGTGCATGACTAAGAGGCTAATGAACATTCAGACAAATGAATGTGCATGAATACTTTTGAAAAACATGAACCATTTGTGATGATAATGAGAGTAACAATGATAATGATAATAATAATAATAATAATAATAATAATAATAATGATAATAATAATAATAATAATAATAATAATGATAATAATAATAATAAAAACAATAATAGGGATTTAATTGCAATGGTGATAATAATATTATTAATAATAAAAATGATCATGGTAATAGCAGTAATAATAATAACAACACATATAATAACAATAATAATGAAAATAGTAATAACAATAGTGATGATAATGATGATGATGATAATACCAATTAAAATAAAAAAAAATAACAATAGCAATGGTATTAATAACACAACTATTATGATAATGATAATAGTAATAATATCAAAAAGAAAAAAAAACAAGAATGATAAATCTGTAATAATGGTTATGGTGATGATGATAATAAAATAAAAAATAGTAATAATACATCAATCTTAATAACAACAACAAACAACATTGAAGATGATGGTGATGATAATCATGATAAAAATTACATTACTAATATTGCTTCTACTAATACTAATAATGATAATGACAATGGCAATAGTAATAACTGCAGCAATACCGTACTACTGCTACTACTACTACTGATATTAACTATTATTATTACTATCATCATCTAAAACAATGATAATAATACCAGATATAACTATAATATTTATATAATATAATAATTGTAATGACAACAATGATAATCATAATAAAAATAAGTCATAAGAAATGGACGAACTTCAAGGAAACAAAGCCATTATGTCTTAGGAAGGAATAAGTATAATAATAATAATAATAATAATAATAATAATAATAATAATAATAATAATAATAATAATAATAATAATAATAATAATAATAATAATAATAATAATAATAATAATAATAATAATAATAATATAATAATAATAATAATAATAATAAATAAATAATAATTAATATAATAATAATAATAATAATAATAATAATAATAATAATAACGATAATAATAATAATAATAATAATAATAATAATAATAATAATAATAATAACAATAATAATATTAACAATAAACTTCCTACCCGGACCTTTTGACCAAATAATTATCCCCCGAATTAATATTCATGTTATAATTTGCAACACAGGTCATCATCCATCATACCAATCCTGTTCTCCAGCCACTCTTCTCTGGACCGTCATGCAGACTGTCACCGCTGGTCTGCCATCCATCATGAGGCCGTGTGCCGTGTGCATGTTTGTGTCCGCCCACGTCACGGCCCCTGCTCCCGACACGCACATATATATGTGTAGGTGCGTAGATAAGTATACGTGTGCTTATTTTTCGTTCACTTTTGGGAACGGGTGAATGGGTTTCGTTTCTCAGTCTCGGATTTTTATTCTCGTTCTCTTTCTTTCTCTCTCTCTCTCTCTCTCTCTCTCTCTCTCTCTCTCTCTTCTCTCTCTCTCTCTCTTCTCTCTCTCTCTCTCTCTCTCTCTCTCTCTCCTTTCTTTCTTCTTCTCTCTCTCCT